TGGTAATGCATTTCAAATTTAACTTACACTGTATGGTTAGTGGTAGTTCATTTCAAATTTCACTACCACTAATGCTTCAATGGTAGTGCATTTCAAATTGTTGAAAATTGTTTGAATAGTGGTAATGAAATGCTCAGTGCATTGAAAATTTAGTGCAGCGTGCCCAACCCTGGCCGTGGGCAAACCCCACATCGGCGATTCTTATGAAGGTATTCATGCAGAATTCGGAAGAAAAGTACATGGAGGATTATACGTCAGAATTAGAAGCGAAGTTCTACGCCAGATACGTTGAGGATACTGGAATATGTCAACAAAGCGTACAGCAATATAGAATTCACAATGGAAGAAGAAATCGAAGAATGGCTTAAATAAATAAGAATACCTACAATTTGAAATATTAAAGTGGCGGTCGGTTTAAAATTAAAACATCTTTACTAATATAGATTTTGAATGCCGTTTTTTTAGTGTTCGCAAATTTCGAGAACGGCTGAACCAATTTGTTTGAAACTTCAGACTCCTGCCGAACGTGTCCCATGGATTGTTTTGGGCTAAACAAAAATTCCATGTGTAAAGGGGGCGTGGCACCTCCAGTACAAACCGAATTTTTCATACTCCATATCTCTTGAAGTGTTCATGGTAGAGTTCTGGGACTTCGTATGGAGATATACGAAATCAATCGCATACTCTTGAAGAAATATACGAACTATTGGAAAATGGTGCGTGGCACCTCCCATACAAACCGAATTTTTATCCTGCATATCTCTGAAAGTATTCATGGTACAGTACTGGAACTTCGTACGGATATATGTATATGTATGAATTCAAGCCCATACTCATGGAGAAAATTGGGGCTTTTTGAAAAGGGGGCGTGAGGCCTACAAACGTAAAGATTTTAAGCTATCTGTGAATGTATTTATAATTCTTCTGTAGGTGTGTTTGTGAGTGAAATCCTCTTAAATGATTGTACGGACTTTAATGAAATTTGTTGTGTGTGTTTTAGTGGGTCTTTGGATGGTTTAGTTTCGCAATTTAAGAATGATTCGCACCCATTTTGAAATTACCACCGACTATACTGTAAAGCTTCACTATAGAACCGGGGCATTGTTGCCGCCAGGGAGTGAAGGGGAAAAAATTCTTCAAATTTATTTCGTTTTGCAAATAGCCGTGCTATGAAATGCTACACAGTTGGAGAGATTCAATAACTTCCTCACGGATATAACCCTTTCCTTTGGTTAATTAAAGCGACAAATTACCACCAAACCATAATGTTAGGAGATGAATGTGCCAATGAAAATCGTAAACGTGAATTGTTGGTGAAAATGTTGGACCAAAAAGTTTCAATAAAAAAATAAAAATTTTGGGCGGGATGAAGTTCGCCAGGTCTGCTAGTATAATATACTATTGGAGTGGTCACACAATGAACAGCCTGTGAGCGTTATTTCTGAGTGGTTGGGCGGCGCGGCTCAGGAATAAAAGCCGCTCACCGCTCAGCCGCTCATTGCGTGGGCTCGGTTTAGGTGGCTCCCGTGCCACCGGGCGGGTCAATTTTGTGCAAAAGTATTTCTCCTTGCGTTGCCAATATATATTTATTTCAAATATGAAACAAATCGGATCACAAATACGATTTTTAGTAATAACTCGACTTCAAAGTAGAGTTTTTTTTTACAAACCTTCTCTGTAAAGTTACATTTACAAAAGAAAAAATTGAACCAAATCGGCCAAAGCCATTCTAAAGTTATAAGGCAACGTTGACATATCATCGTATTTATAGCAATAGTTTAAATAATAATATGCCAGCTTCTCTTTACTGGACTAGAAATCATTTTAAATTTGTGTGTACGTTTATAAAAGTGCATCAACTTAATTACAGAATTCGATAGCTTGATGTGCGCATTCGTAACACAGCATTGATATTAATTAATGCAAAATGAAGGCAACAATAGCCTAACATTAACTTTTGTATGAGCATGTATGTATGTCCTCAATAATTAGATTTACTAGGTTAATTTGCCACCTAACCATTGTGTAGGCGCTTACACGTGGTATTGATATTATCGCTTCTAAATTACATGATGGCAACAGATACATACATACATATTTATATACAATGCATACTATTTATACATATATACACTGAGGGAAATAATGCATAGTAGAAATGAATGCTTTATATATGATTATCGTTTAAAAATGTTCGTATTTAAAAATACGTACTTTGACTGTTCACCGCCGAGTATGTATTGTATATGTAAGTGTACGCTTCCCAAGCATGTAGAGTGCGCTGCAGAAAAAATTAACAATTGATCAAAAATAACCTACTTGTAGTTAGCTTTTTTGCGGCATTTCTATAAAATATATAACTTTGAGGACAAATAAAAATAAGGATCAAAATTTTTTATTATCATTTTGAAGTTATGTCTGACGGATTTCGAAAATGAGACCACCTACAGCAGAATATGGAATCAAATATGAAATGTAATAAAATAAAGTAAAAAAAAAATAAATAAAAAAGAAAAAAAAAATGTTTTGTTTTTCCTATTGATATTTTATGTTCAAAAGTAGTTAGTTACAAGTAAGTTACATCAAATGCAGAGGTAACCACCCTTGACTACATCATCTAATGCACCCAGGTAAGCCACCCTTGACTATTTCGCGGTCATCGCCATAGAAATATAGTTAGCTTTCGTCAAAGAAAATATACAGATAATAACAGACTTATAGCTCCTTAATAATCAACTTAAAGTTAGATTATAGTTAGATACATTTCCTGCAGGGTACGCACCCCAAGCATGCAGAGTGGCGACAACACACACATACATACATAGTACATGTATTCCCGTACAAATGGTGTACTGTGGTGTTGATGGAAATTCAACATTTGAAAGCAAATTTATGTCTGGGCGTAGCTGAGTGCGCAAAGATACTTGCCACAATTTGTTGAAATCCTCAGATGGTCAGGGTTCGAATTCCACTGCAGTTAACATGGCCTATTAAATATTTTTTTTTAGTTTTTGTCCTAATTTTTTTTCCCTCAGTGTACATATGGATGTATGATGTGTCGCGTGATGTTTACGTGGGCGGGTAGTATATTTAGCATTTTGCATATAATTTGTTCGTAATTTTCAGAGAATAATATGTAGTCAACCAGAACGAAAAGGGTAAATAAGCGTACAATCAGCTCAATGCCCAGCGGTGTATATCCTATATCCTGCAGTCAAGCGGGTAACTATGGCCTATTTAAATTGTAGCGGCAATTACTAAAGAAGTTATCATTAGTAACGTTGTCGTGTGTACACTGATTGTTGACAATTTTTCATTTTCCACTCCTTCTTTCGTACTCGCCTCTTTGCATAAATGGTGTCCTGCGGTGCGCTTTAACGCGCCAGCATCGCCTGAGCGACACATTGACAATTAATCACTGTTATTGCGAAATAATGTTGTCTAAAAGAACACGCCTACTGTTGTTGCAACTGGATTGCCGTATTGGCTGCTGATTGATCCTTTTGGCATAGCGTAAATGATGCGCTGTCATTCAGCTCAGTCGTAGTAGTGTACTTTGACTGCTTGCCACCTTCCCCATTTGATTTCAGTGGTTACTATAAAATGTTGCTCTTTTCAGCCGGCGGATAGCAGTTTTAATCGGTGGCCGGGCAGAGTCTGTGCCGATATTTGGAATTCCGTTGGACAGAAAACATATCTTCTGACTTGAAATGCTTCAAAGGAATACATTGCGTTAAATTATTAAAAAAAAATATAGATTGCAAAAATTTCATTCGAAATGGGCAACGCACGGATTGCAACCTTGCTATTCTGCGCTTTCACCTATTACGTGCTGTGTAGTTGTAAATTTTCAGGCCAAAATCAGGTAAGCATTGGCTCCGCCAGTTTTTGCAGTGCAGAAAAACAAAATTGAGGCAAAACGTAAAAGCGAGTGAAAATTATTGGATTTTTTTCTGAAAGTCTCAGGCCATCGACAGCTATTTTTAATATCGATAATGGTGCTGAATCTGCGCTTACCGACAGGGTTATGAATTTAGCTATAGTTTTGGGCAGGAAATAATCTTGAAGGTCAAATATTGAAAATCGCTACAGTGTAAAAGCAGGTAGAGAAACTCGAACGGGACTCAGTGATCGGACTTAACAAAAATAGTTTGTGTGGTATAATCTGGAAAAAATGTGGTAGATTTTAAACAAATGTGGTAGATCTCAGGTTTTGGATTAAATTTGGACAAAAATTAAAAAAAAAATCTGCAAGGTTTCACCTAAATTGCAAACATTTTAATTAGAATCTAAAAAAAAATTATTTTAGTATAAATAATAAAGTGCAAGTAGCTAAAAATTGCGTTTAGTTTTGGCATTTTTTTCCCCACTAGTGTACTTTCTTCTTCCTTATTGGGGCTGTAACTGTCTTATCGATTTTGGCCGAGTTCAAAACAGCACGCCAGTCGTGTCTCTTCTTTGCCAACTGATGTCAATTGGAAATGTCAAGTGAAGCCAAGTCCTCCTCCACCTACCTGGACTTTTCAACACAGAGGAGGCCTTCCTTTTCCTCTGTTATCAGCATCGCGACCCGCGTTAAATGTTTTCAGAGCTGGAGCGATTCTGTCCATGTGAATTCCCATACCCGTCGGTTCTTGACGGGAAAAGAACCCCAAGTGGCATGTGGACTTTTATTTCAGGCCGTGTATAAGCGGAAGAGGTCTCATCTTGGAAGGCCATAGAGAAATTATACTGGTATGAACCAGTTTTCTGAGCCTTAATAATAGATAATTAATAGAGGTATGAGATCCAAGAGGTCTATTGTGCCCTCAAGCGGGGTTATTTCAAAGGGACTTAAGATAGTTGCGGTTTTTATGTCAATATAAATATTTTTTCGATCCATTACATAAGTATTTAGTTGTTCCATTTTCCAATTATTTTTTTTTCAGTTCCCCGATTCCTCGAACTATTTTCGCCGTTCTCTTACCGCTCTTCGCCGTCAGCAACATTCCGACTTCCCTATGGATGATACCCGCAGCACCGTTCTGTTGCCTCAGAAACGCTCTAAACAGTTTGAAAACTTTGTGGAGTTGCCCAGCACTGAGGTGTATGAAGCACCCCATCCTGGCTTTGAACGCATACCCTACAATGAGTACAATCGCATAGTGAGCGCATTAAAAGGTTCTAGACGCGTATTTTATTCGTTAGCTTGGTGCATATTTTCTTAACTCGTTTGCAATTTTTTTCGCTCTTTGTTTTTTTTTTTGTTATCATTGCAGAGATGCTGCGTGCGCGCGAAGAAAAACCCATTACATTGCGTCCGCGCCCTGGGCGTCGTTCAACGGGCGCTGATTATCCGCTGTGGCACTATCTTCTGAACGATGCTGGTGATATGGGCTTGAATGCGGACGATAACGCTGCTCTGGTGGGCGAGGCAGCTGATGCATTGACGGATGCGACGCTGAAAAAATCCGCGCCATTCAAACCACGTCTCGGAAAACGTTGCGGAAGTCGAATATACGAGTGAATTGCCAATGGTGTTTCATAGGCGATTGGTAGGGGAGGGTATTGGGGGCGTGGAGTGTTGGGTGTTGAGTTGGCTGTGTTGTTAGTGCGTGGCAGGTGTATGTGTGTATTTGCGGCGCCAGAAAATATGTTTATAATTGCATAAGATGACTGCGTACATACATACATATATACATATGTCCGTATGTACAAATGTGTTTGGTTGTTGTTGTTTTGCGTGTTGCGTGTTGCGTGTTGCGGTTGGGAGGCTGCGCGATTGCGAATGTTTGCACGGCCCGAATGTTTTTACTCGGTGCCAATGATAAAAGCGACCATTTTTGAGGCAATTAAAATTAAAATCAAGCGAAAACTAAAACATAAACCTAAATGAAATGGCCTTTGCTATTCGCTCCAATTATTGAAACGAAAACATTAAAAAAAAAATTATTGAAAATATGCAATTTTACTGTTGTTGTGCTATGTTGTTGTTTAATGTTAGCACATTTGGTTTGTTTGTAGTTGATTAAAATAATTCGTTTTTACGTATTTAAATAAAATTGTTTGTCAAAGTGGTGGTATCAGTTTACAAATAGCTGAACAATTATTTTATAGTCAGATATTCAAAGTCAGAATACAATCAAACAGATATTACAATGTAGAAAATTTCTCGAATATATATATATATATATATATCGAATCTATATGTATAAGAATGGGTTTAGCATTGAAAACATTTATATTTAAGATATTGTTTGTATAAGTATTAATGATGATAAAATCAATAAATTATTTACAATAACTGCGCAATTAGTCACTAAAAAATCACTACACGAAATTTAATTTAATTGCTTCCTCAAGACGGAATAAAAATGGAGAAACCTCAAGATTTGCAGCACCCATTTCAGTGGCTTTATATCACCCAGTTCGTTTAGATTTTATAGAAGGATCTTCCCAATAAACATTGGGCTTGGTTAATTATTCGAAATTGAATTGGAAAACCAATCTGTTTATCGAGTCTCACCTTCGATAACGAATGTGCAATAAATTAGTATTCGATTCGAGAACCAGGCCATTTTCCAGCAAAACGGAATCTTCGTTATCCAATGTATTTTCCCTTCGTTATGAATTCGAAATCCTGCCTATTATCGAATTATATTTCCCTTCGAAAATGAGCTGGATTTCACTTCCTCACTTGTTACTATGGTTTTGATTTTTTTTCGAACCCATCTAGGATGTATTTCCAATACACTATGAACCTGGGAAACTAAGGTTGGTTATAAGTGCCTTCTCAGTTTGATATGAAATTGAATGGAATAAAAGAAACCTGAGTGCGGTATAAACGAAATTTTTGTTTGAAAGGAACTAGTAAAATTCAAATGCAAATGTCGCATTTGCTGCAAAATTTGCCACTTTGTGACACAGCTGATTGATTGCTTTTGTACGAAAACTATATAAGCTAAGGCTGCTTCGACATACATATACTAATTGTATACATTTGCAATCCGGAGTTGCGATAGGTTGTTCATACAGTTTTGTTCACAGCGTTGCCATTTCACCAAAAATGCCACTTTGCGACATTTCTTGATTCGCACTATTATTTATGTTAATGTCCGCCACTGCTTCTTAGAGTGGCATTGATCCGAGTGATCCAATTTTCAATCAGTATGTCACACTGTTTCCATTGAATTTGTGCAATTGTCCGGGTTATGTTCACCAAAAGAGCAACGGTCAATTGAGGCTTTGGGAGAGGAGCTGCTACTTTGAGATAACCTGCCAGAAAAAATCTAGCCAGGTCAAATCTGCGAAAGACAAACATATTCAAATCGTTCATGCGGAGTGTCCATAAAGGCGTCCACAGTGTCAAATTTTAGGTCACACAAACAACATCGCACAGTGGTTAAAAATGGAATTTAAAATTCATGATTCACTGGAGTCTTCATTTCTCAACCAAATTAATATTTTTTTTAATGACAGGTTATAAAATTGGCAAGAGACTAGGTGAGCCCGATTTTTGATTTATTTGATTTGTTTATATTAAATTTTTTAGTGCAAGGTGCAGAAAAATAGTCAGTTTTGAAGAAGATCGATTCTCCTGATCCAGTTAATAAATGTTACATAATAAAAACTAGTTTAAAACAACTGTACGGTTCGTCCAAAATGAAAAAAAATCACAAGAAAAATTTGATTTTTTTTTTTGTTTTTTTTTGATCGGACAAAAAAGATATATAAAAAAAATATTGTTTTTTGAGTTTTTAGAAAAATTTCGGATAGGCAGTTTTATAGACCATTAAATTTTAGTACAATAAAGTGCAAGTTTTAAGTGGATAAGAGTTCGTGTTGATTTTTAATCATTTTTTTTTCGACAACATTTCGAACACACCCTACGTATGTACATATGTATGTCAAAAGAAAAAAAGCTTTAACTGAAAATGCAAAAGAACCAATTTGTGCTGAATTCAAAGAAAAATTTGTGTTGATAATAGATCAACCCAAACCAGGAGCAGGAAGCTCAAATACAGGAAATACTGCACGTCGTTTTTTTTGAAAATGTTAAAGAAACAGCAAAAATTAAAATTAAAATGAATCTTTCAAAACATTTTGTCAGGAGACAGCAAAACTATATGTTAATTTTTATCCATGGATTTATATGCCATCAACAGTGCACAAGATCCTGTTACATGAAGGTGAAGTCATGGAAGAGTTTCTTTTTCCAATTGGACAATATTCGGAAGAGGCTGCTAAGGCTCGAAATAAAGACGTTAAACGATATCGAAAAGATGACAGATTTAATGCATAAACTGCTTGAGCCATCTGATTTATATATTGCGAATTTAAGACGAGAATCAGAGAGAGTGGAAACCGAGCTTGATTCCGAAAGTTTAAATTTATAGGAAGAATTTGATTTAAAGCAATAGGAGAAGTACTTATTACTTAATTTGTTTAAATTGTATTACTTAAATACTTGAAAAAACAAAAAAAAAACACAGAATTAATAATATTAATTATTAAACTTCACATTATTTGTCGTGCGATATGTACATATATTCTTTTTTTACTGTGGTGAAAATTTTTCTAAAACATTCTAAGTTTTCTTGTGAATTTTTTGTGTGCTCATTGTTCACAGAAAACTTTAGAAACCCGCAGTAGAAAGCTTAAGAAAATTTTTGTCTAATAAACTTTTATTTGGAATTTCTTCAGTTTCTTATATGCAGTTTTGAAAGCTTCTGAGTTCTACAAAAAGGATTGCTATAGTTACGGTTTGCCTTCAAATCTATTGCTGCGAGTTTTAAAGTGATGCAAAAAATTCTTATCACTCACATTTTTAAAACACAAAACTTGAACCGCAAAACCGCAAAGCTTTTTACGCCAAATTTTAAATTCAGAAACTTACAATCAAACTACCGAGCAAGCGGCGCTTCAAATTTCAGGCATAAATAAAATAATTGCTAAATGAGCATTTCCTGCTGCTTAAATGAGTTTATCAACGACTGTGGGTTGAAAGCTAGATAAGCAAAAGAGACACAATGCTCTTTTATAAGAAGTAAATTTATTGAGTGGCATGGGAGCGATAAATTTACTTGAACAGAGTTTTTTTTTTTTTACTTACAAAAAAAGAAATCAAATTTGCTTGCTGGAAGGAAGGAATTGCGTGCGGAGGAAGGTGGAAATTTTATTCCTGAGTGAGAAATTTTTCCGAACTCAGTCTTAAAAAAACACAGTTTTTTATGTCGGAACCAGACACGAAACAACGCGTGCAGAAAACAGCACTCAGACTACATCCCGTCCTTGATTTATGAGTAAACCTAAGCAGACTTTTGGGTGTCAAAGAGCACAAGTGTTCATCTCTACCACATCGCGGCCAAATGCCTCATACCTAATTCTTTCAAAGGCGGGGAAGAAGAACAAAAAGTGTTCCACTGTCTCATCGTATTCAAGGCAGGATGGGCAAATGTTGTCATTAACGCCTATCACGGTCAGGTATTTGTGCCACGTGAAGTGACCAATCAGCAGCCCAACAAGTGGTATGCAGGTTCAACTGCCCACCTGCAGCCCCTCGATGCCTCCCAATGATTGCTTAGCAGGCTCAGTGGTGGAATTAAACCAGCATTCAGGGAACTCAACATTATAAAAACTGTTCAAGAAAGGTAATGGTGGCGTACTATCCTGTGGCATTGAAAAGACCCATCGGCTTAGATCTCTGCCGCCGGCAATTTCCGCCTCGCCCCACTCAGTGTTATATAAACATTCGTTTATTTTTAGACTGCAGGGGGCCTTTAAGGCTTTCCCCACATATGAAAACACAAAGTGACGGTAAGTGCAGCAGCAGTGTGTCAAGAGCACTACTCAAGAAAATTTAGGGAGGTTTTAAAAATACGGAATGAAAGCTAAATAAAGGGGCTATCCGATCATATGCTGGCCTAAATAAAACATTTTTTTTCAATCCCGTGGAACAAAAAAAAGGCAAAAAATTGGCAATTGAGCCAACATATAGAGCTGGTGGCCGCTGTATAGTTCATTAAAGTTGTTGGGCGATATACAGACTATGTATAAGGGTTACCAACTGTTCATCTGACGCGAATGATTTAAATGAGTTATTTAAAATTCAGTTAGTTTGAGTTATCAGGAAAAAGCAAAAATAGAAATCCATATACATTCATACCTATGTACATATGTACATAGGTATATTACATATTCGAACTACATAGTGTCTATGCAATAAAAAAAAAGAACAACACAGCTGAGGTGAGAGAGAATTAATGACATCAGAAGCGGAAGGGTGAATGTCACCCTCGCAGAATTTGCAAGCATTTAAAAGGCTGCTATGCATTCAAGCGGAGCTTACCTTTAAAAGCGATGCCCAATCAAGGGTCGCCGGAGCAACACGGTTGCACGATGGGTCAGGTAAGCGAAAAAAGGAAGATGGAATAAACGAAAGGTAAATAGGAAAAAAGGGGAAATGCTCTAGGTATGTTCAAATGTATATATGTATATACATAAAAGCTAAAGTGAGAGCTATTGAATGTATGAAAAGCTCGGCCGCGGCGGAGGGTCACACACCGTACTTGTATGGCTACCCACCTCTACTACATAGTTAACCATATTAGCGCTTGCATGTGAATGTGTGGCACTGATGAATAATAGGAACTAAGCCATTTAGGATAAATTGATTGATGTATTGTGCGTGGGTAGTTAGCAATGAAAAAGTGTTGAATGCAAAGAATTTTTTGCTACTAATTGTGCGGAAAAGCTTAGCAGGCCAACACTGGATACAAGTAGGCGTTAAGTGTGTGTACAAAACGGAACTACATAGTTAAGCTCTCCGCTGACGCTAAACTAATAAAGTTGTTCTTTGTAATCTTGCCGAGGCAAAGTAGTAAGGGTAGAACTCCACAACAAGCTTTTCAGGCATTCAATGCTTTTCAGGCTTTTAACGTTCTATTTGCTAATTAAATTAAATTATACACAAGTTCTGTGAAATATTAAAATATGGCTGCCAGACGGTCCTCTTGACGAAGGGAAGGTCCATAGTCATAGACTAAAGCGGGTTGCCACCTGTTTGAAAAGCCGAATTGAATTAAATGATACGAAAGCCGTATAAAGTACTAAAATATGGGTGTAAAACGTAAAAGTTTAAAGTGGGATGCCACCTGTTGGAAAGGTTTAATTAAATTAAATTACGCACAAATTATATGAAATATTAAATTTTGAGTATGAAACGAAACAGTATTAAGAAATATTCACTTCAAACATTAAACATATTTTTAGGTGTTTGAAAAAATGCTTTTTAAAATGCTAAATTCAAATGATGTAAGGAGCTAAGTAAAATATTACAATATGAGTATCAATCGAAATGATTTGAAAAGGGCTGCATTTTAGACTGAATGTGCATGGGTTGCCACCTGTTCAGAAAGCGCACTGCTAACCATTACATCATAGTGACCACAATATTTGTGTCAAGCGAAACAGGCTTAAGAAGGCTGTAGTTGCAAAATATATTTAGGGGGGTTTCCCCCTCTTTGAAAAGTTGAGTTTAATTGAATTTAATTGAATATTTTAATACTGGGCATCAAACATTAGGCTAGTTTGAATATATTATACCTATTGGAAATGCACCGTAGAAGCCTCAGTGAAAACATTTTAAGGCAAGCACATACAACCGATCCAATTCAGGAATGTTCGGATTAAGCAGAAAATCGTGTGGCAAAATCATACAACGTGTAACCAAATGAAAAAAAAAAACAAAAAGATATTGTATATCCGCTAATAAACTTAAAAATATGAGAGTTTCAGATGGTGTACAAAATTATAAAAATCCTAAATTCTTTGCTGAAATTTAAAAATTTTTTTTCAGCATGTTTAGAAAAAATGGTAGGTGTGCAGTTTTATAGCCCATTAAATTTAAGTAGGATAAAGTGCAAGTTTCATGTGGCCACAAAATACTATTGATTTTTGATAATTTTTTTGCTGAAGGTGTTGCACATTTTCTCCATATGAGGTATGCTCTAAACATGACTTTCTTATGGAATAAATGCGCAAGACCGATGAACGTCAGTTTTCATAAATTGTTGTTATAAAGGGTATTATTATTTAGGCAATTTTTGATTAATTGGGTGATGCACAATACTTAACCGTTTTCGAAATATTCGATTTTAAAGATTAAAAATGTTTTTTTTTTTAGCTTGTACGTAAACTTGCTGGCTTTCAGTTTACGATTTTTCACTAATTGTTTTCTACTTCATCAAAAAAAAAATGTTGTATCAAAACTATTCTCAGAATTATTTTTAAAACTAGTATGTCTTTTTTGCTATCAAAAAAGGTTAAGGTAATTCTTGAATTAAAAAGTAAAACGTAGGCCAATTGCGTGCTCAATTAGTGGAGAGTAAAATTTCGTAAGAAGGAAAAAATTTTAAAAATACGTGATTTGAACACAACACTTAACAATTTAAACCTTTTAATTAATTATAATTCGTTCTCGACATGACGGCCTCTATTCCGGATACATATTCTTATTATTTTCCTTAAAATACTTTTCACAACGCTTGTTCTTAGATGATGCCTCATTACGTCAGCCGCTTCCAGTTTTTTTTTTATATTATTTTTCTATAAATATAACGTCTAATCTTTAACCCAAAACATATACATAAGTCAACTTTATAACTACAAAATCTAGGAAAATTCAAAAAATTGTCATCAAAACTTCAGCTCTTTAAATTAAATAGCATGTTTAAACACATAAAACAACAACAAAATTAGCCAGTCATGCTATTTCTGCCATCTATGCACCATGCTAGACAGTATGCACCGGATCGTGAATACCCCTTATGTATCTCTGGTTACCTTTCCATTTGCGTGTGAAGCACATCTGCTACTAATCAGGCAATGATGATGCTGTAGGAAAAAATCTCGTGGGTGTGTACAAGTATGTACATATACATATTTACTCACATACGCTCATTTAAGCTGAATCGTCTACCAGCGTTTTTTTGCTTACACTTACTCGCCATGCTGTTTCTGCTGATGTTGTCGGTGTGCGTAATGCGGGTGCCCGTTAGCTTTGTTAGTTTAATTTGCTGTGATTGCCATTGCGCAAATAATGTCCTATGGCGCTGCTAAACGCACAACGCAAGCTGCTACAGGGCAGTTTGGTCGACATGACAAGCATGTAACAAATTGACATTAATCTCTATTACTACTAGCTTGTTGTTATTTCACGTCAATAATGTTGGTAATTGTTACATTTAGCATGCTGTGTGCTTGTCGCTGACTGCACTTGTTGTTGTTGGCACACAAAAGTGGATTATTGCATCAAGAAATAACAAATTGCCTTTGATCCATTTGTTTTGTTTTGCTTAACAAAGAATAAACAAAAAACCATAGACCGTTTGCAACAAATAATTATTGCCGCTTGAAACTATAAAAATCCACGGCATCGCCGACACTTTCAACAGTTGCTATCAATAATTTACAGTGTACACTTAGCCATCTAGTCGTAAGATTGCACAAAAGTTGTCGCGCGACAAACAGAAGTGCTCCAAACGAATTTTGTTGCTTTTTTTTTACTACTTTGTCATGTGCAACTTGGGCGTGTGCTGTCTTTTTTTTGCCATTGCCGCTTCCTGTTACGTTTCAGGCAACACCAAGGCGACTACCAGTGATGATGATTTACAGCAGGTGAGTAACCTTCATTCATTGAAATGGATAAAACCCACTTCTTTCTGAAGCACTGGCTTGTGAGATTTTTTGAAGTTTTTCTATGCTTTCCATGCACTCACCTTACTGTGCACTCCTTGCCACTCCATATGATCCTGAATTTCCTTTAAGCGTAAATTAGTTTCGTTTGCGATTTGAAGTGTTATCATTTCCAACTAAGTGTAGCACATAAACTGAAATTCGATTTAAGAGCATGCAAATAGCTTAATGTGCCGTATGTACGGAAATATTATTCAAGGATATAGCACAAGATTTTCGTCACAAATTGAACGAAGAAAATCAGATTACAATAAATGCAATTTCAATCACTTTGATGGTTTTTAGGAAATTTCGAAGTACAACTTTTGAAATGTGTGTACAGTATTTTCTTAATTATTTTGGTTCTATAATTGCTAGTCTAACTAAGCAAGCTATCGAAAATATTTTACATCGCCATTACCATTTGACTTACATATGCAAAAAGACCGGGTCGGTTTATGCCAAAGGAAACGGTTTGTTGTTGTTGTTTACAATTCTAACAGCGCCAAATGAGCGCAGCGCTGTCAAAATTATGCTTGACACATGACAGCGAGTAGTACCAGGTACTAGTGGCATTGAAACATCCATAAAGCCACTTGCGTGTCCCTTGATAAAAAAAAACGAAAAAGTTACTTGTTCATGCTGTGATGGACCGAAGATGCACTTCAAGCATTCTTGACATTGGTTTTCATTGCTAACTTGTTGCAGTCAGCGCTACGAAAGTTTGACGTCGAAAAGTTGTAATAGTAACGGACAACTGGAAACTTTCGCAATCGGATCCCAAACCATTCAAATAGGCAACCTGTAAAAGAGCAATGGGATTCCATCTCCAAATCTCTTCGCATTGCTGCGCATACCAACTTAATTGGAGGCATAAAGTTTGAAGTTTGAAGTTTGTTGTCAGGGTGTCCATCGTGCAAGTAAATTTACCAGCTATATAGCTGCGGTTAGTTGCATTTAAAAAATCGTTAATAGCATCTACTTTATGCATCGCTAAAAAAGTAGAAATATATTTTTTCGTTCGGTAGATCCCGGGATTCAATACCGATGAATTTACTCATTGGCGAGAGCGAATACCGCAGACGATAGAACGATGAACAGTATGAGCTTTACAACGACGTATGTTTATGTACATAGTTCAGCTTGGTGCTGCGGTTCGATTGCAATGCAGACGTAGCAGCCAGGAAAATATTCAACTCGACACTCGCTGCTCGTAGCAGATGAAGTGGAAGGCCTCCTCTGTGATGGAAAGGCAACGTGAAGAAGGACTTGGCTTTTCTAAACGGCAACAGTTGGTGTTGTGTAAATAAATGGTCTTGTTTTTAAAGATTTTGAAATCAAAAGTACATAGAAGAATTGTGAATTATAAATTGCTCATGAGGATGGAATATCTACTTCGGACATTTGGGGGTGTTAACAGAAAAAGTAAATGAATTGTGATTTTTGTGCCAATTTGATATTGTTTTGGACCATTTACAACGCGACGAATTTTTTTCCGAAAACATTGATGAAATTTTCATAGTCATTAGGGTATATTAGGGTAAAATTGGGTAATTAAATTCTAATTTGTGGTAAAAAAATTTTGCGATTTTTAGTTTTCGAGATATTAGGTGTTCGATTAATCGGTAGGGAAAGAAGAGGGCTGGTGTGGTCAGGCGGATTTATCTTAAGGTTACAGCGTTCCTTTGGTCTGAAAATTTAATTTAAAAATATTTAGAGGTCGCTCAAAGCTCTCAAAGTTTTCCATGTATTTTATATGGGGGAAAACAATTTTTCGTAAAAATAGTATGGAATTCTTGGAAATCAATAAGTTTCGGGAGCAAACTTTTGGTTCTCTTCAGGAGTCATCCGGCAACAATATTCAATTGTTCATTTAACCATTTTTTAATACTAGAGATAATCATCATGGAGTTTAAAAAACTAGGCATGAACTAATACTATTTCCAAAAAAAACACAATCATAAATGCTATTTCACACAGTTTTATTTGCAATTTACTAAAATAAAACCTTTGCAATGTCTTTTCGAATGAATATGAAAATCAGCTCATTACTGGAAATTCTGCACATATTTGAACCATTGTAATTTAGTACTATGTACACAGTGACACTCTACAACTAAAAGTTGCATTATGCGCTTGCAATTTGTACACCGAAACGCAAAACTTTCGCACAAATCCCCCGTCATTATGCTCTCCATGCAACAAACTTTCAACTCGTTTCGATTATTTACCCACTGACTTGAACTGTATTAGCTTCCACCTTGCCTTCGCTAATACACTTGCTACGCTATTGTTGTTTTCTGTCAGCTTTGCAATCAGCACTTGAAAAGTCTCCAAATTCAGCTGACGAAATTCTAAGTTGAGGTATTGAAACTTTTCAAGTGACTTTTGTTGTATTTTGAGGGAACGAAAGCTTTAACTTTACTTGTATTTTTTAAGTTGTAACCAAAGCGAATTTATACAAGGTGGCAGCAAGCACAAGCAATATTATACAGAATTATTTCAAAATTTAAAATTTGGTGGAAAACGCAATCAAAGTTTGAACATTTCATACAGTTGGTATACCAAAAAACAGATGGAAATGCAAATATCTTCGCCATTTTTGGGAAGCTTAGTCATCTGTTAGGCTGAACATATTCCACTTATCATGCTTATTAATTGTATGATGACATACCCAAAAACGTAAATTTTGAGTTACATCTGCATATTTATAATATTATTTTGGGACTTTAGGAAGTCAAAACGAAAGAAAAAAGGAGATAATTTTCACCATTTCGTCTTGGCTAACATTCTACTAGTGTAGAGATTAAAATATCAAATCAGCACCTGCTTAAAGTTTTTGTTTTATGACAACTTAAACTGTTGTTGTAAATTATTCTATTAGTTTTCGGAAAAACTGTATATACCTGGTTGATGCAGAAATGAGACGATATCGACTACTGACTTATCTCGACAGCCAGTGCGGAAACGCCCTATCACAAAAAACTATTCAAGGACACCCTATGCCAGAACTCGTTTCAAAAATGCGCTATCTCAGCCGCCGATTCAAAAACGCCCTATTTCAGCACATTTTCAATACATTTTGAAGTGAGATGTGACGTTTTTCAACCAAATTTCGGGATAGGGTGTTTTCAATAAAATTCTGAAATAGGACATTTTTGAAAAGTTTTTTGAGATATCTTCCACTTAGCAGTCATGTTTGTAGCGCTGCATATATGTTGAGGCCTAGTGTCACAGTCCTTTCGTGTTGGTATAGTAATTATATAGTTTTTGCAGGTATCGGTGTGGGCGCCCTTGTCCTTAGGATTTTCGAATGGCCTGATTGACCATGTCTCCAAGTCTTAGGGCTGCAATACTGCGCTGTTGTCTCATCAAGCATAGGCCGCCATATTAGAGCCCCGTAAAGCAGAATCGGGCGAACAATGGCCGTGTAGATTCAGTGAACTATCTTAGGTAAGAAGTCCCACTAAACACTGACCGCCGTTTTACATGTGAAGAGCGCTGTGGTGGATTACTTGATGTAATCCATCGCGTTGTCGCTCCATAGTAGTTTGCCGTCCATCCGCCTCCATGAGCAGCAGCAATTGGTTCACTCATAGGAGTGCAGAGAGAGCACCCCCATACGGAGTGTCCCTCCTGACACATCTGTGAGTCGTCTGTACCACAAATTCGGAGCCCTGCTGCTGAGCAATTGGTGGATGATCCCAACCAGAGGTTGCTACATCCGCAGGTCCGTCAGAGCCGAGGTAATCGCATACGGGAGGACATTGTTGAAAGCTTCTGCTATATCCAGGAATACTACTAATGCAAATTCTTTTGTTTCTAGTGATCGCTTAATTTTTGAGACTAGCGAGTCTAGGGCAGTCACCGTCTACATAGAACTGGAGCTGGGTTAATTGATTGTTTTATATAAGTTTCAAGAAGTCTTTACAGAGTATTTAGTATAAAGGAACAAAGGCTGATAGGCCTAAAATCGCCAAGTTAAGCATGAGAGGCTCTGCCTGCTTTCGTTGGTATGCCGTTTTTTCTCTTGGGACTAATGCGTGCTGTCTGGCAACTCTAAGTAAAAACGCTAACGAATTGATCAAGTTCCTTCCGTCTTTTTGAGGTATGGAATAGTTCAGCGTGTACATTCTTATATACAAGTTTTCTGTAATACTCGCAATTAGTTTTCCTAATATTTCGTATCGATTTAGAGACTGCGGACGAGTCTAATAAGCTAAATTCTGTGAACCTGCGATTTGAGAAAGAGTGCACTTGCAGGACCTTCCACGCAGAAATCTGATCACTGCAAGATTCACTAACGAGGGTGATGTCAAGAACTTCCCTGAGAATGGTTGTTATAAAGGGTCACCTTCCTTGTTGCAAATAGCCAGATTTGTGCTTAGGAAATAGTTATGAAGTTACTCAGCTTGTTCATTTATGCCGGTGGTGCCCCATTGGTCGTGATGAATCCCCTCTCAGCAGTAGCATTGTGTCCATCGGATTTGTGTTCTCCACCAACTCTACAAGTATTGGTACAGGTAAAATGAGGCCAGCCTGTAACTCCTGTGTCCTATTTCTGGGCTAACCGTGGCTATGTCTCCAGTGCTATATTGCGGTAGGATAAAATAGTTTATATCATATCTACTTCACATGAGGACAGTTGAAGCAGGAGCGCATCACGCTCCGTATACAGCCTCCGTAAGGCATACCCGATTAGCTTCTTGGTTGCTTCATATTCGTAAACTTCCATCTCATGGTCGCTGGGCGTTTCGTCCGCCTCCACAGAAACTACTAGGTTGACTAGGGCTTCGTTGTACGCTTTGAAACTTTTGGCATAGTCTTCACAAAGCCCTAGCTCACCCTATAGGCGCTTTTTGCGAGTGCCTGCAGACTGCAGGACTACCTGCATTGTTGATCGCTCAGTTGGGTCGGTGTTAACAACCCTCCAGTTGTGTGAAGGGATGCTAGGATTAAATTCCTGCAGCATTTATGGGATGTCCGCAGGCTCGGACGACGTTACGGGTACCCAGGCGTTCACTCTGGGACGCAATATTTTGTAATAGAAATCAATACCTTTTAGTTAAATATGCGCATATCTGAGTTTTTTTCGAGCATGAAAACCTGAAATTTGTTGCCTTTTTTAGAAAACAATTTTCTAGTTGTTGCTAAGCAAAAATAGTCAACTATTTTTACTATGTATATGGCGTCCAGCCACTCATAAACCAGAAAATTCTGCGAAAATTCCAAACTCCTGAAATAAAACTGAAGTCGAAAGTTGCAAAAAAAAATTCAACTTTAATTTAGCTGTCTTCGATATACGAGAAAGTATATGGTTGCGTCCTACAATGTGTGTGTATGGTCTGTTGCTCATACGCCACGGTACACATACATAGTTTCATTTCGTACTGGGCTGTTATGCCATACGAATACAGTTGCATACATAATCTGCATGAATGTAAATGCATTTGCAGTGTTGCCAAGCTCGCTGTGGTTATACAAACAACATATGTACATAATGTAGATGTGGCGAAAAATGAATTTTATGTAAATTTGAAATTAACACAGAAATTTATAATGGCTAAGTGCGGTTGAGTTGTCACATTTTTAAAACTTACAATGATGCAATTGCTGGAAAATCGTTTTCAATTTAAAATTCGTATTGCGCTTTTTAAAACAAAATTTTTTTTGAGCCATTGTTAAATTTTGTTTCCAATTATCACGCTGCACTTGCATGAGTTTATATTCACAGAGAGTTCTGATGAAATAAGTGAATATGATTTGCATTTATGAAAATATGTGAATAGCTTTGTATATTCAAAATACACCATATCAAAAGATTTTGTTATAATGATTCATGCAGAAAAATACGTGCATGAAATCGTAATTTTATTGCATTTGCCTGCTGAAAATTAACAGAAGTTCATATATAGAAGAGCTAATCATTTAACAGTTTGTTAGTTTGGAACAAAAGTGGACGAAGCATTTGACAGTCATTCACCTTGCGGTAACCAGAAATGATTCTTTTGCATCCTGTTACAATCGCAGCTCACCGCATCCTGTTATTTATATCTATGTATCCTCCGGGTAGCGATCAAACACCCGTTCGGGAGCAAGCTAAAGTGAGAAGGCGTAAAACTTCGCGTGCGCCTTGGTTAGATTCCACCACATTAAAACTCCGGCCATTCTTTTGATGACGACCACGACAAATAAATAAATAATAAGTAAAAAATAAAGGACTATGATTTAAGGGTATGCATTGGGAATATCCGGACCCTTAATGGCGAAGGTGCCTTTACCCGGCTGTCGCCGAGTAACACGGTATACAAACGTCTAGCTACAATCTGCATTAAAGCGAGATTCTTATCTGCACCCATGCATAAATAGAAGAAAAGGACGAACCGTCCAAGGATCTCTTCTTCTCTGAACACTGCCCCAGACATGATATAAGAGTCGCGCCAAAGTGGGGCCATGAAGGAATCTCTGGCACCACTGCCAGAAACAGCCTCCACGACAAAACGTCCGACAACGGACTGAGGCTGATCGACTTTGTCGCGAAACATGTAGTACTAGGTTCCAGCATAAAAAGATCAATTTAGCTACATGGCGGCCTCGGATCCAAAAACAAATCTTCATGCAGGCAAGATACGCAATCGCCATCGCATCCAACGGTGCTAGGAAAGCGCAACGTCGAAAAGCCGCAATCACTATAGGCGTCCAAATTATTCGCCAATCGACACATTCACACTTGCTCTCTGAGAGCACTCTCCAACAAACTGACATAGCTAGCACATTTCCCGCTCACTAAGTACCGCTATAGGGAAAAGAAGAGGGTAGCGAAACGTATTTTCCGCAATAAAAAGAGAAAGGCTGAAATACGTGAAATGCTGGCCGATAGGAAAAACGCCGAAAAATATTATCCGAGAGTTAGGTGACTTGCGGAAGATTTCAAGACCAGGGTGAACTCTTATAGAAACAACCAAGGGGACCTTCTGACCGATGTCTAGAGTGTGCTTAAAACATTGAGAGAACACTTTTACGCCATACTGATTGGTAGAACAACTGAATGTTGTGGAGAAGACGAACTCGAGCCCGAGGAGACGATGTTCCTAGAGTTGTTAAGGTGTATGCATGAACCTTTGTGCAAACACGGTCAGATGAGTGCATGCTCGACGATTGGAATTTAAGTGTGCTCTGCCCATAGCCTACAAAGTATTATCGAGCGTATTATGTGAAAGACTGAAACGCACCATCAACGAACTGATTGTGCCTTATCTCTGTAGCTTTAGACCATTTAGAAATCTACCATAGACCAGGTATTGACAATGCGCAAAATCTTGGAGAAGATCCGCGAGAAAAAGATCGAAATTCACATCCTGGGGAAACTGATACGGCTATGTAAAATGACGTTGGGCAATAGCACCAGCTCCATTAAAGGTTTCGGACAAGGTGATTTCCTTTTGTGTGATTTTCTTACTCTGTAGAAGATAATAAGAGCCACAGAACTCAACCGCCCTGGCATAATACGTCAAAAGAGCGTACAATTGCTGGCATAAATATGCTGAAGACATCGACATTTACGGCAAAAACAAGGGCTACACCTGTTCTGTCTTCTCGGGATTAGATAGAAAAGCTCAGCGAATGAGTCTGGTGGTCAATGAGGACAAAACAAAATACCTCCTGTCGTCACACAAGCAGTCAGAGCATACACGTCTTGGCATGCACGTCACTGTTGACAGTTACAAGTTTGACAAAGTAGATGACTTCGTTTATTTGGGAAACATCATTTACACCAAAAATACTGTGCGACAATTTTATGACAATTCAAGCCAGTCCGGACTTTGCTAATAGTTTGTGAAAGTAGAGATATCCTGTAATAAAACGTTCGATGGATTTGCAAAAGCAAGCTCGTATTATTATTTTATGGCCTACTAAACGTTTCATGTCCCGGCCTAAGTAGTCGAAAGTCGAAAAAATATTTAAAATAAATGTCTAAGCGAAATTAAAGGTTAAGACATATTTAGTAAACTTGCATAGGAAATATTTTCGAAGAACGTTTTAATCCATTAGCTCCGGCCCATTAGCTTCACCCTCAATTCAAGAAATCCAGCAAAAAACAAATTTGGAAGTTCGTTAGAGGTTTGATATATTTTTGAAAATTATTCTTCGGAAAATTTTACTGGGGGTCTTCTCAGGCAAAAATTTCATGCCACCAACGTAAAGGTCTCTAAAAAAATAAAATCAAAAATCAGCAAGAAAAACTCGGCATTTTTCTATTTTCTAAAATTTTTTTTTTTTTTTTAAATTGAGTTTGAATGTTATTTCTTCTCGGAAATTTTGTTTTAATTTTATAGAGACTTTTACGTTCTTGGCATAAAGTTTTTGCCTGAGAAGACCGCTAGTAAAATTTTCCGAAGGATAACTTTCTAGTATACATTAATCCTCTAGCAATCTCGTCCTTAAGTTATCCGTTTTTTTTTCTTTTGTTATTTATGGCCTTATAACAATTATATTCAACTACTTTGTAGAGCTCGAAGCCGTTTATAATGAAAAATTTTGTGGGTAGACTATTGGCTTTGGACGCTGGGGTCATTGGACCGATTTCGAGTGAGGAAGTCTGATGAGGAGCTGTGGTAAACTCCGAAATAGCAGCTATAACTTTTACCAAAAAATAAATTGCTGCTTTTATTTTGTATTAAAAACGGCCTCAAACTCAATAAAATTATTGAATTTGATTGTTACAAGGCCATAAATAATATAAGGCCATAAATAAGAGATAGTTCTGAAATAACTAAAAAAACTCAAAAAATAGATTAGTGAATAAAGTACGGAAAAAAATATTAATCAAATAAAAGGCCGCTTTATTCGGGGACCAGTTACGATTCGTTTTCCTAGCAACACTCACAAGATATAGACCAAGTATTTCCCGACAGCTGTCGTCCATAAGTAGGCAATGATAAACCTTCGACTGTCTTTTTGACATGAAAAGGCATATCACCATATTGCGCCCGGAGGCTGCGTTTAAATGCTGGCCTCTCAATTTGTGTGCCAAAATTCACAACATAAGCTGAAGGAGAAGGACGGCAAAACATTTAGTAAAATGTGTACGCGGTATATATATTTCCATATTTTTTATTAAAAGTAAATATATACATATTTATGTAAAAATAAAAAAATACTACATTTACAATATTTCCAGATATCAACCAACCATCCCTTATGGTGAAAACGTATCCAAAATGCGGTATAGAGATTTTTAATATCCGAAGATGTATGCAAAACCGTTTAGCGCTATTACTTTCGTATTAGCGACAGAGTTTCCTCAAAAAAGGACATTAGAAATATAAATGAAATAACAACTAAGAAGCTTTGCAACATATACATATATTGTATACACTTACGGAGTAAAACAAAAAAATAATGTTTACAAAAAAAAAAATTATAAAAACACAAGTGTCACAAAAACCTGCCCATTTCGCTACACGCTTCTAATACGAGTACATTTCTTAAAATTGCTTTTGTCATCTCGTTTTTGTTGCCTATTCATGTTGATATGATCATCATCTCTTTTTTGTCTTCTTTTAGGCCATAAATTTAGCACATGCTCCAAATATCATCCCAAAGCCATATATGCCCATACAAGAACAACAGAAACAACAACAACACAGCGAAAGACATCCTAACAAACGGTCATTGCTGGTCTTAGCGGCAGCGCCAAAAAAATTGACAAAGAAGACACGACAAAAACGTTCGCAGCATGACTTGGCCACATCGGAGGAGTATTTGAGAAATATGCCAACATATGCTTACAATCTGGCCTTGTTAAACATTATGCACAGCCTGAGGAGTGAGTATAGAGGTTGCTTAGAAAAACTACTAAAATATACATACATACATATGTACATAAGTTAAGTAAACTTGGCGGGAATGACTAAAGAAAATGCATGGGAAAAGGATAGGACTAAAAAATAGTCTCTTTCAATCCGCCAATTAAAAGGCAAAAAAAAATTCTTACTTCAGAAGTGAACTTCAGAAGTGTAAACAGATTACTTTTTAAATTAAAAAAAAAGTTATGAAGAACGTACAAAAATTAAAAAAAAAAACATTCAAAGGTAGTTATAAAAAAAATAATGCAGGCATAAAAAAACTCTTGCTGCCATTAAACAGCCTAAAAGCACTGGTTTCGGCTGGTTTATAAACTAATCGATGCGGCTTTAGTATCTACGGCTTTAATATCTACGCCTAGGTTTATGCAGATGACGTGGCCTGCCTCATTACAGGCCCTTCTTTGTTAGTCGTTTGCAGGAAAGCGCAAATAACACCGAAAATAATTAATTGGCTTGTTCACACTTGACTGGTTATCAGGTTATCTGGTTATATAGTTATATTTTTTATTAAGTTTGCAACAATGAATACACTACAGAATAATAATTTTTTGCAAGTGTGAACAACCCAAATATTTTGTTGTTGTGCGAATGGGCTGTCTGCTAAACCAACCAAAACTAGGATTGTGTTCTTACTAGAATGAGAAGGTTTGACGATCTTGTTCCGCCTGCCCTTACAAGAGTCAATTTTCAAATTTCTTTCGAAGTAAAGTATTTTTTTTTATTTATTTATAGTTAATATATAAATTTATAATTTTAAATATTTACCTTTCCTTATAATTTTTTTTAATTAAATTTTTAAAATACGTTAGTAGGTGGCAACCCATTTCAAAAATATTTTCGACAGTAAACTTTCTTAAACCTTTGTAGCTTAACACCCTTATTCTAATATTTAATTTATTCCATCATTTGAAAAGAATACAATTTTCAAACAGGTGGCAACCCCCCTCAAAAATATATTCGGCAGTAAAATTTTCTCACCCCTATATTTTGATACCCATATTGCAATATTTGATTTATCTTATCAATTAAATTAAATTAAAATTTTCAACATGTGGCAACCTTCCACAAAAATATCTTCAGCTGTAAGCCTTCTTAAAGCTCTCTCTCCTGGCAGCCATATTCAAATCTTTACTTAAGCATATCAATTTACTTAAACTGCAGTTTTCAAACAGATGGCAACTCTCTAATTTGTTTTTCTCCATTTTAAGTTTCAGAAAAATTTTTCAGACAATAATATTAAAAATAGTGGATTTGGCTTCTGTTGCTCTAATAAGGACTCCCCATATTAATGTTTCTTTAATATCTGTAATGTACAGACATCGGTCTATTACAATTTTCGCCGGGTGCTCCAAGATAGACACCCGCTTGTAGCCACACCTACTGGTGAACAGACGCTGCAGACTTAAGTGAGCCTTTAAGGCGAATAAGTCGGAGTGGCCCCACCGTAGCTCACTCTCTTTCTGCTCTGACCCAAGGCTCCACTCGCATTGGTTACCGTCTCCCGCACATGGGTTGCTCACGTTTCCCAGAGTGTGCGAACGACGACGCAAGAGTCGGGATTGGGTATAGCCGTGCAACTGTAACTGCATACCCAGCACAACGACTATACCCGATTGCAAATTATCTTAGTCTAAAAGAAATACAGGGTATGTGTTGGGTCCCAAAGAATAAAAGAATAAAACAACTTCTCATTAGAAATCTATATCCAAGGTGACGAATTTAGAACTGGTTTGGAACCATAGAAAAAGGGATGCCGAACGAACTAAATGTCATCTGTCGAATTTAGAACTAAATAGTTCGAAACTATCGAAAATGGAATGCAAATAGATATTTGTTTGGCAATTTTTTCGGTCAAATATACTTTCATTCTGCACTTCACAGATGCTTTTTCATAGTTTGGCAATATAAAACAAAAATTTGTATCAACATTTTAATATCTTGGGACCCTCTCAAAGCTAACCAATAACAGCCAACTCCTCTGAACACTCAGTTAAGACGAATAGGTATTGAAAAAGTGGTTTTTAACTTTTTTCTGGAATACCTATGAAATTTTGCACTAATTATTTTTAAATAAGTTATAGTATGTTAAGGACTAATACACATTCGACCACTTCCTCGATTTTCGTCCTTTTAACTTTGTTAGCTTAAAAAAATTAAACTAATTAAAAGGGCGTTGTGGATAAAAAAATTTGATAACGGATGCGTCTCTGAAACATACATAGAGCTTTCAAAATCAAATAGTTAAACCGACCGTTTTGACAAATATGTTGTTAGCGACACCGGTTAATGGATAACTTAATTCTATATGTATTGAATAAAGTTGAGTAATGGATTTGTTTGACCTTGTCTGCATTTAAAATATCTTTCCTATTTTTCCCCATGAGTTGTGTCCTTTCACGCCAAAGTTCGCTAAATCAAAATCGTATTGTCCCTTGTCGCCATCGTGTAAATAAACCTTGACTCATTTACTCGCTCACACAATGCACCACTCACAATCAGTCACACTTTCATTCACATCTGTACGCAGGTATTTTATATATTATATACGTATGTGTGTGTGTGTGTGTGTATGACACTTATTTGTTCTTGTTTTTTTTTTCGCAGAACAACTATCCAACATTGAGTTGGCGCGTTTACGTTCACGCCTTGGTCGTAGTGCTGCAGCTGATTTGCAATTGTTCAATGAAATCTACAACAGAAATAGCAACAAAAACAACAATAATAGACTTCTGTTCAACAAAGAATCCGGCTCAATGAATGATGGTGAGTTGGGCAGTAGCTACAATGACGGTGGTGTGGACTTTGTCGCTGGTGCCAGTCTAATTGGCACTGGCACTGGCACTGGCACTGGCTTTGACACTGGCAATGGTGGACTCGAAAAGCTTGAAGGCGTTGGCGGTGGAGGTGCTGCTGTTGATACCGGTAATGACATGCTTGCCAATGACATTGAGGACCTTAGCGTGCCATGGCAATTTGTGGGGCGCGTCAGCAAAAAATCCTCAGCACTCTATAAGCCACGACTGGGCAAACGTACGCAGCAGCAGCAGCAGCAGCCAAAGACATGCAACTGAAATGTCAGCAGTTTGCGTGCGGCATAGCGCCGCATAGTGGTTGTGCAGAGGAGCGGAAGTAAAGTCATGCATTTCATTTAAACATAGCAAGGTTGTATTCGTTTGTTTGTTTGTTTGTCTGGCTTTTGTGACAGAGAGTAGCAATTTTTGAAGTGGGCGAGTTGTTAGGTGGATCACAGCTTGGACGACTCTGTCACGCACATACACATTCCCGAGTTGGGACAATATGCAACTGCATACACGACCGCAACTACCACTACATCAATATTAAGTATACATAAATATGTATGCACCTAAATAAGTTTGTATAGGAAAATGTAACCATTAATATGCCAATTAAAATCTGGTTGTAACATTCGAGCGGGAGTTAATTGTTTGTTAATATTTAATTAATAATTTATACACATGAATACTTACGGTATATTAATGTTGACTGTTCGTAGTAAGCATTTGAATTTATAACTTAAAGAAATTTTGTATATCACGCTAAAGAATCTAGTAAAATATATTGTTTAACTAATGCGATTAGATAATAAAACTATCACAACAATGAAGAGTGAAAAAAGGAGTGAGTTTATATTTATAATACTTACAAAAGTTTGAGTTTAATAACTTAATTCCTATATAACAAAGATAATTTCCTCATTTTGGCCATTCATGGACATAATACGTATTGGAAATAAACTATGGTCGACAATTCACTAGGAAGTAATTTTAAGAGAATGTTGAGGTTATATTGTAGAATCTCTAATTACAACTCACTATTGAGTGTACTCTGCCTAATCGATAAAAAAGCGACCCCGCCATACGAGCGAACTACCCCGCGCGGCAATACCCTGAGTTCTGACAAAATTCAGAAGGATCTCTCCGAGCCCTTCGATATCAAATAACCCAGTTGGACTCTTTCCAACTTTTTCCGACATCTCACAGTGGGAAATTTTGTATAGTGGTGCGGAATTAATTAATAACTGGAATAGTAATTGAGGCACTTCAATAAAACCTAGGGCATAAGTTAATATATATAAGATCAAGAATGGATGGTGCAGAAAACTAATATATTTTCCTCTTTCATATCCACTATCATCTGGTAAATCTCTCAGGGAGGTTTGTGCTGGGACACAGAGAACCCTGAATAAGCGTGTTGAATGGTGCACTTTGCAGGGTATTCCTGTCAATCCTAGCTAGTCTTGTTTACACGGAAAAGAAAATTGGAAGGTATCAACCCTCCAGTGCTTACCGGATGTGAAATATCCAGGGGTAGCTCTAGATACGAAGCTGACATGGAGAACTCACGTCGAGCTGAAGGTAAATCGAGTGCTGAAAGTTTTTCGGACAGTGTCGAAGAACCTTTAAAAAGACCTGGGGTCTGAGACCGGCCATGGTATTTCGAATATACATCAGACCCATCGTCACGTATTCTGCTGTCCTATGGTTGCGCAGAACCGCGGTGAAAACCACGGTTACTAAGGAGCGTGTGTATAGTCACTAGGGGCGCCATAAGTACAACCAAGGCCGTATTTGAAAAAGCCATTTATTTTTTTTTAATTTTTTTATGTACTTCCTTCATGTATAATGCGCATGTCCAATTAAAGATATTAAAAAATACATACAGTGGTAAACAAATTATAGCTGAACTACTTTTTGCCAAGTTTTAACGTACTATTTTCGTTGTTATTTAATTTTGGTTATTTTTTTTGATAAAAACCCGTGTAAATCCCAATTTCCAAATTTGTGAAATATTAAAAAAAAAAAATCACAACAAACTTTCGTACAAATTTCGAGCTTTTTTTTAATTCTAAAAAAACAATCGTAGCTTTTAGCCATTTGAAACATGTACTACACACTCAGAAACTAATAAAAAAACCCGAAATTTTTTTGATTTTTTTTTAATTTGCATCAATTTTTAAGGCAGTGACACTCGATTGGTTCATTTGTACAGATTAGTACATTTTATATTGGGCTATTGGTACAAAATAAAAAAAGGGAACTTTCTTCTTTTATAGTCAAAAGATTGGTACAATACAGCGATGTTCTATTGAAAAATTTAAACAAATTAATTTTCGTGATTGGGATAAATATTTGGGTATTCACGCAATTGGATATGATTTGCACCAAATTTTGGCAAATACGCAATCGTGTGACACACGTGGTGGACGTCTTAAAATATAAAAAATTTTATAATTCCAATGGAAAAACAGTACCGATTTTTTTTTTGTATGGGGAGTGATACAGTCTAGTGTATATACATGGCCTGTTCTGTTTTTTTGTACTTACTGTTGATGAACGGTTCTTCAATGTATGCTCTTAGTTCTGAAAAGACAAAAAAGAAAACATTTAAGCAAATCTTATTTAAAATTTCTATGAAAATTACAATAGCTAGTACTCTAAAAAAGAAAGAAAACTTAAACTATACTAATGACTTCTTAAAAGCGATTATTTGCATCGCGCCAAACTATTCCTAACTAAAGACAGCAAATAAAAGTTTGTTTTTTTTAAATTTTGTTATCAAAAAGACTGATTGAAAAATTTTTCCTACCGTATTTTCAAATATACCATTACAATCTCCACTCATTTTATATGTATTATAATTCCTACGTGCCTTTTAGAATGCGGACTTTTATTCTTTTGGCCAGAAGATGCCATTTATTTCTGCCTTTAATTTTTTTAACGAGGAGTTTGCCGGTTACTTTTTCCAGGTTTTGATAAAAATCGAAGTTATGATTTGAATGATACGTTTTTTCAAAATACTAAAGTTTTTATAATCCCTATCATTATACTAAGTGCTCATAATAACGCGGTATTTTAGGGACAACTTGGTTACACTCTGAATTGCGGATGTGCCGAATAGAAAATGCTGCCGGTAATCGGATTCCGGTTAACCGCTCATTGTTCGATGCACTTGATTTAGGATGAGAAATAAACCAGTGGCTTAAACGCTAACAACAAACTCAGCTCGTATTTCAGCGCTAATTGTATGAAGAAATGTATGTATGTAAGTGAGTATCCACATACGTATGTAATAATAATTTTTCTTCAAACATATCAAATTAGCTTTGCTTTTTGGGAACCTAATAAACGATCCATTTGCGCTAATTCCAAGTTAATTAAATTGCTTACAAATATGTATTTATACATACGTTTTGAGAATGTGTAATAAAATAAAAATGCTAGTAATAGAGTGAAGACAGGTATAAGAGCACACTCATAAAATGAAATGTATAAATGGAAAAATGAAATGTAAGAAATGGTAAAAAAGTAACTAAATGGTTGGGGGAGAAAGACCTTTTAGTGTGTAAAATACATGCATGCAAATGTACTTTTTTTGTACTTGCTCAATTGCTGATATCAAACGAGATTTCTCTTGGCCAAAATGAGTTTCATGGTATATATATATATATATATATATATCATGTTTTTAATATTCTAGCATGAGGAGTACTCATAGGCTTCGAGAGTTATTTCGTTATTTGAGTAAGTAATGTACTATGCAAGTATTCATATTTGCCCGGTTATTAAGTTAACTGAAATTATTTTTGTTTTGTAAGCTATGTTGAAAAATAATAATTTTAAACCAGTTAATATAATGTCATAAAAAGTGCACCTACATTAATTTATTTTTGTTGTTAGCAGCCATTTTTTGTATAAATCCAAAGATAGAAGCTTCTCATAAAATTCAATGAAAGCATACGCAAATCTTTCTTAAAGGAGACAGTTATATATTGACGTTACTCATACGACGTGTCAAACTGCAGAATGCACGTTGTGCAAAAAAAAGTTGTTTTTACTATTTGTTTGTCAGCAATTGAAAGCTATGGTCGAAAGGCTGAGGTGCGAGCAACATCAAAAAAAAAAACAATTTTTTCCTATATCGGCGGTAAAATTATAGGTCATTTGTGTGACAGCATCAAAGCGCACACACACATTGGAGGTTGGAGGAACCTTGGCCAAAAACTAGCATGTATGTAAGCGCCAAATGTACGCCAAATACGAATGCAATTATCGAGAACCATGCAAGCTTTAATTATTTAGTGTTGTTAAAGATACTTGGATTGTTTATTACAAAAGCAGTGAAAAGTGTGTACGAGTTCTTGCCAATAAGGACATCTGCTGTAAAAAGCAATGCAGAATTTCATTGTTTTATAACCGCTTTTGGCAATAAATATATTATTTCACCACATTGGGGAGAAATGCGTTTCCTTCTTCACACTCTTGCATAAATAGACTCCTACCGCAAGTGAATCACAAAATTTGGTTTGTGTTTCTTTCTGAAATATTTTGGGTTAATGACACTTTGAAAATTAAAAAAAAGTACTTTAAAACTTTACATACATTCTGGGGCATTTAAAAACTGGGCAAAAAACGTCCAGTTCCTATAACAACTAAAATTTATGTACAGTTGCTATGACACTGGTTCTGGGCACTGATAATTTTTGAATTAAAAAAAAAAAAAACGTGAAATTGTTAAACTAAAAATTTTAATGAAGAAGACAAGTGGCCGAAACCTCCATACAAAAGTTTGCTTGCAAGGAAACCAGAATGTAAATGTAAATTAATGACTACGTATCTGTGGCCCAAATCCATAACCGCTTAAGTCAACTCAAAAAAGATTTATGTTAAGTAGTATCGTAGTATTTTTGTTATGCTAAATTCGAATATGCCATACAATTTTTAATTTGGCAGTTGGCAGCTGCAAATCAATTGCTAACTTCTCAAAAAAATAATTAGAAAATATTTTTCAAAATACCACTTATTAGGTATTTACGCACGTAAGTCACGAATTTTATGTCAAAAAAGTTTGACAGTCGAAAGCTGTCAAATTGACTGTGAATTTTCTCTAAAGCTTGCTGATCACGAATTTTATGTCAAATTAAAACTTTGAGTGTTGACAGCTGTCAAATAAAACTGTTAGCTTTTCTAAGGGTTTCAGACATGCTAGTCACGAATTTAAGTCAAAATAAAATCTTATTGGTTTAGAACTGCCGAAAAGGCTGTCAATTTCTTCAGCAATAAAGACAATTTCCCCAAGAATTAAACCTACTATGTTTTAAGGCTCACTGATCTCGAGTCCTGAATCACACTAACACTTTTTCGGTTGACAACTGTGAAATAAACTGTAATTTTCAATTGAGTAACACAATATAGTATTTGTTTAGAAAAATTTGATTTATTATATACGAGGCATTATAGCTAAAAGGAATTTATGAACAAATTATGATATTATAACAGTAATTATATTTATAAATTAGGAATAGCTGGTGCCGTCTACTGTATGTTCAGCCCAAACAATTTGATCTTCGTCCGATCATTTTTTTCTTTACGAAATTCGGCGTCAACGCCTGGGCACAAAATTATAGGATTTACTGCATATTTTATCGTATGTTACGATGCATTTTTTTTCTTATGGGCGAAATTATCGTATGTGCCATATACAAGTATT